ATATATATAGATATAGATATAGATATAGATATATATATATATATATAGATATATATAGATAGATATAGAGATAGATAGATAGATAGATAGATATATAGAGAGAGATATAGATAGATAGATAGATAGATAGATAGATAGATAGATAGATAGATAGATAGATAGATAGATAATGATTCCTGGTTTAGGAGCCGTGCTTCTTTTTTCTTTGAATATCTACAAAATGTATCTTCGCTGTTTCCACTTACGTCAGATGTGACGATAGTGTGTATCCATTGGCGGATCCAGAGGGGGGATTCGAACCCCCCATTTTGAAAATGACTTAAGACCACATTGAAGATTTTTTGCGTTGGCGGAGCCTGCCCCCCCCCTTTTTTTTTTCAAATCTAATTTCCTGGATCCGCCCATGTATACGGTCATTTAATACGGTTCGCCACACACGAATAATTGATATAATTTTTGAAGGCTGCCTTCGGTATACCGAGCAAATGATGTTCTCAATGGGCAACCACACCGCTCAACAAAAAGGACATATAGAGACGAATTCCAAACACACTTTCAACGCGAACATCGTTAGTTAGCACCAAAAGTGTTGTCACAAGTGACATCGTAAAAGGATTGAGGTCATGGTTATGCTAGAAATGATCCCATATATAATGACAGTTAACGACAGTCTCTCTAATACAACAAGACGTCAGTGCCCCAACGACCTCGGTCATTGCACATAAGTCTGGACAGCCTGATTGTCTGGCAATATCGACATTACAAATTCGTAATGGCCCACACAAGCCTAAAATCATACCAATGCTGTACGAGCTGGTCCGTAAAAAATGTTGGACTTATGAATACCCTGAGGCGTGAAGGGAACTATTTTCACAGTAATTATAGGAGTTGCCTTTAGTTCTATAATTTCCGATATCCTTATCCTGTGCGGTAATCTACATTGCGTTCTAGATCAGGTCTTCCCACATACGGTGAAAAGAGGATTGTGTAAAAGATCACTTCCTGTCTCAGTGTCGAATACAATTCCGGTTGCAATGGTATGTGTGACCGCCCACGTGTTGGAAAAAACAACTAATACTGACTTAGCTTGGTTTGAACAAACACAGCTCTTTAACTGCAGTTGTGTAACACGCTGCTCCTTGTTACTACTGAAGACAACTGTGATGACCTTCAAGAACATTTTGAGGCTCTGATTGAAAATATTAATTGTCTTTTATTTGACTCTTGAAATGCCTTCAGCAATGGGGATAAGGTTAGATTTTACTGCCGCTTTATATTGAAATTGCTCGCTCATTCTAGAAATATATATTGGAACATTCCTAAATTATTACCCACGACTTATAATGTAGATCACGGTGCGATGCATCTTATGGTTAGTAAGGCACATATATGCAGAGAAAAGTATGCAAATGAACCTTACAGTTTCGAAAGCGAGCTATAAGAAACACGTAGTTACCTCCCTTGCACCAAGTACCGTTAACACCTCCCGATGACCCATTCACTGTGGACTTCAGGGACAGGCGACAACGTGTCTTCAGGTGTCATGACGAACATTGCAAACGTCAACAGAAGACCTCATTGAAGAATTGTCGCTGGTCTGTAATGATATGGGTCTGGATCAATGTGACTGCAGCTTATTATTGACCATAAAGATAGCTTGACAGCACTATCGAACAACACACTGTCGCGTTAAGCAAGTACCGTGAACACAGCGTTAGTGACTACAACGAACAGGTATATTCCATAAAGAGCCCGTCATGAACGGGTGACATATAACATCGACGTGTCAACGTTATACGTAGGAACATACTTCCCTCAAAGTGTCATCAGATTGATCTAGACCATACATTTAACAACATTTTTACCAGTGATGGACACATGATCCATTTTTATCATGTCATCTGAATCCTCGATATGTTATTAATACACCGCCAACATGTCTTGTTGAGTTTCATGTCAGAACTAGTCCTGCCGTTTTCTTATCCATCCCTAACCATGGCGATACTGCTTTCTATATCATGGTCAGTAATCATCTGTCATTTTCGTCTATTATCTACCTTTTTGGAGAGTATGTATGTGTGTGTCTTTATAGATTTACGCAATTGTAAAAGAATGCATATAAAACTGTACTTTCGCTATGGCCTAAATGCACTTTCATACAGCACCTGTTTACCCCCGAGAAGTGTTTATTGCATACTCAGATTGTCCGTGTGTCATCACTTATCACAGGTACATTTGACGTCGATACAAGTCCGATAGCAAACCATATTTTACTTCTGTACTGCAGAAACAAAGCCGATGTGTTTGTGTCTGAGTGTAACTGGCTGCATCAACATTTTCATAACGATAGCTAGCAAACGTTCACTGCACACGATAAGTAAGCTCCAAGGGAAAACTTACATATTTGTGTTAGTGTTTGTGTCACAGTTTGTTCCACACACATTTCCTTATGTTTATTATAATACGGTTATCACGACCTAGTTTGGTCACTTGGTACTCGAGGTCTTCAAGACTTTGATCATCGGTCGATGGTTCCCTTTTAATTGATAAATAGTATAATTGGTAATAGCGGTTAATAAGTGAGTATGCCTATTATCTTAAGGACCCCTCGGTGATGTAGTTCTTTGTGTATGATGGGAATCGGCTCAATGAATGATATGTATGAATATGACCACAAGTTGTGACAATGCTGGTTTATCAATTTGACATCCTACCATGAATTCGTCGTGCGTTGTGTCTACCATCCACTCTACCTCCGCCGTGGGGATTCTGACATATAATGGGGAATATGCTCGTCGTGTGAGGCGAGTTAATGGTTTGGATTTTCAGGCTTGATGGCTTGGTTCAATGCACGCCATCGACTTGTGCCGCTCATGCTATAGATAACTGGATTATCAGGTACAAAATCCATGATTTACAGGTCACTGTCGTATCTATAATATTGTTGAGTGCGGCAAAACTAGCACAGTAAAACACACACACGCATTCACACAGTGTCACTTTCACACACTCACACTTACATAAAGACGTGAAGCCCATTTATGGTGTCCCCCGCCGTGATGATGCTTGAATATTGCTAAAAGCTGCGTAAAACCAAATTCAGTCAGTCAGTTAGTCCAATAACAGCAAGGATCTAGTTTAAAATTCTCTGTCTGACATATAAATCTTTCCACGAGCAATCCCCTTCATACGTATCAGAGCTGATATCAGCCTATGTCCCTGCATGGGAACTAAGATCTCAACACCAGAATCTACTGACAGTGCCACAATGCAAACTCAAGTGCTTTGGTCAGAGATCGTTTGAACACTATGTCCCCTACATGTAGAACTTTCTTCCCCAAGACCTTAAACTTTCTCCAGCGTTTGAGTCAATCAAAGCGAGTCTCTTAACGTATCTTTTCCGCCAGTTCTATGAGTCATAATAACTTTGTCATCATCCCTTCCTGCGTCTCCTGCTTGACTGTATTGCCTTTTCCATTACAAGGGATAAGTATTTCAATGTCAAAACAGTTAAGGATCTTTTTAATGTTAATAATCATTTAATCATTTAATTTAAGGAAATAGAAGTACTAGATAAATTTTGACAAATGGTCTGTAAATAGATAACTACTTTATTATTGGTGGTTTGGATTGATAACTGCGATTGTTGGTGGCTGTGCCCTCGAGGGGGGTTGAAGTATTGTAAAGTTGTTGTCCTCCTGAGAGGGTACGTAGGTCCCGAAGCATTCAATGTAAATTTAAATCTACTATTATTTCTTATCGTAGAATATATGTTCTTTTACTTTGTGGCTTGAATATCAAAAAATGCTAATAGCTGAAGAGATGGCGTAAATCGAGCTAGGGTCCATGCAGGAAGCAAATGTACTGTAAATCCCCATGGTCCCTAGTATGGTGATCTACCTTCAGTTGTTGGCATTCTATAGCCCGTTTTTATATTGTATTGTCATCTATAGTTAAACTGTTTTAGATTTAATTACTAGTTTTAAATTCGTCTCTGTGATAATCTAGTTATTTTACGGTCCTTCGTAGACAGGTTTTTATAATTTACTATTACTTACTATGTATACCAATTAATTGTTCTCGTCACGATATGGCTGTAAAATTTTACTCACTCACTCACTCACTCACTCATCCCTTCCTAGGTACTTGTAAAATTGTTGCGCCTTGAGCATGCCGCTAGCGTGGACACGGGTGCATTATTATTATTATGTTTTACAGATTAAAGATAATATGCAGCAGAGAGGGTTCAGGTGATCCTGGCACAGTCAGGCTGGTAAGGCTCATCATCAGCTCAGGGCCCTCGCCCCCTCTACACGCAGCCCAGACAGTGAATGGGACTTCTCCCAGGAAACGCTGCCTAGTCGAACCCACCAAGAACTTTCCGGAGAATATGAAGGCTCCCCAACACTGCAGCCTTCTGCATTACCCAGAGTGTCAGAAGGGCTGTGCTCCCGGTGGAGAACCCGGGCACTCTCCTGATCTGCGCCAAGAGATCAGGAGGTACCAAACCTAGGGCACCGAGAACAATGGGGAGCCTGACGACAGTGTACTTGGGATGCAAGCGAGACATTTCAAAGGCGAGGTCATTATTATTATTATTATTATTATTATTATTATTTATTATTATTATTATTATACACACACTAACATGAAATCAAAACCAAAATCAAAACACTATTTGGTCTGTTTAAGGCTGTTATGTGAAATTGCCGAAAATGATAATTCCCTAATTCAGCGAAGTAATTGCTTCAATGTCTGTAATAATCAACTATATAACAACTGGGAATGGAACTAGAGTGAGTGAGTGAGTTTGCCGGCCTCGGCGTAAACGTCATTCTAAAAGGACGAAGATGGTTGTTTCTGAGGGTATACGGCCTCGTGTTGGCTGAAAACAACCATCTTGGATTTTTTAATGAGATTTGCATACGGGGCCATACGGTGTCAGTACGTATGTTCTCTGATGGGTCACTGCAGCTATGAGGAATTATAAGAGACATATATGACAGTCTGGCTACTTTATTTCCAATTGGTTATTTTCTATGATCGATTTTGTGTCATCTGTCACAGGAATCGGTCTTCAAGCTGTTGCCATTGCCTCCTCCGCGACGTTCCAGGTGTTGGGATGATTCTGGAATATAAAATGGAAACTGACATCATTGCTCTTCTCAACATCCTCATCATCCAAATTCACAATCATCAGTCATCAGTCATCAGACATCAGCACTTTTCCAGTCAATCACAAACACCAACAATCAGCACACACAATTCATTCAGTCTCTTACTGCACCCATCAGTTATGCATCGTCAAATAACTGACATCATTTGCTTCAACTCCATGTGCTTGTTACTCAAATTGGACCTCCAAGGGCAGGTCAGTTAAATAATACTTTTAGTAATAAGATGTGATCTGAGTTCAAGGCCGGAGACTTGGTTAATCCTCTGTATTCTTACCCCGTGAATACCTGTCACTGGGGAGTCTGGCCAGATTCTAATATTTACAGGCCAGTGTCATTAAATACTACAATGTTTCTGAGTGCAACGTTGAACAACAAACGTATGTACCCAGGTATTTCAGTGTAACATATTGGGGGAGGGAGTGTGGTCTTGTGCCGATTTTAGCAATGGGCTTACAAAGCGGTGAGGGTGGGGGTTGGGGGTGTAATCCGGTTCTTAGCCGTTACGGGAAAAAACTAAAATCACAAGGTTACCCAAATGCCCTCATATGCTATAGTTTCTACCATTGATAAGTGTACATTTTATCGAATAAAACAGGCATTGTTGTAAGGTATATAAGTAAGTATAGTAGAGTACTACCTGTGGGTGGGCCGGGACAATGTCGAGGGTCGGGATCTGGTTCCGGGGAACTGTCTGAGTCCGTCTTTTCTGATATTGGTGTGAGGGATCGTGGATCTGCTTGTCCTTTGCCATCAAGATTCGGAACTATAGCGGAAGAAGGAATGTACATAAGTAGCATATGTCTGAATGAGTGGATGAATTATGGTCAAGTCAATATGTGGGGAAACGAACCAGACACTTAGTCATGACGAACGAACGCTTTCACCACTAGACAGTTTGCAACAGAATCACTTTTGAAATTAACCAATAACACTAATTGTTATCTTTAAGTCATTACCAACTGCATTTGCTAAAATGCTGATAATTACTAAAGGGAAAGGGTGATTATCCTTCTTTAAATTTCACAGCTGAGTTATGAATACACATGGAATACAGGTGTGCATTGATTAATAAAATCAAGATAACAGCATAGGCAGGATCGTATAATAGACTCTCCTTCCAACAGAGATTTCTTCATGTTGCCGCCATTAATTACATGACGGAGGTCAATATGGCTGCATGCAATCATAGTGTCCCGAAGCTGAATTCATTTTATTGAAAATGATTATAGGAGACAAAACATAATGTTGTGTGGCGAACGTCCCATCACTCTGAAACTCATATCAACATATGGTTCAAATTGTGGTTGTCCTCGAGTGGTTGTTAAGAATGTCCTATGGTTTACAAATAAATATTTCATTTACTGGCATCAACAGATATGTTTGTGCTTGAGGACATATTTTTTCTGAGCCATCTCTGTGCAGAGTTTCTTTTAAAACTGAATATATAGATAATTGAGAAAGAAATACAAAATAGAAATCGTCGGAATTACCAATAGTCACTTTAAATGTCAGGCTACAGAGGCACCAATGTTCCGATTTGGGCACATTTATATTTTTCTGTTCTTCAGAAATAGAACTATACCTGCTAAATACATGGTCCTAAATGTTTGGTACATAAAATCTCCATTATTTCCCAAGATGCCAACAAAGTCTTCCTTTTTCATCGCAATCAACTGAGTCCCAGTCACTGTTTCAAAGGCTTGACTAATCACATGACGGTCCTGGTCCGCCATGCTGTTCGCCGTCGCGACGGAGTCCACCCATCCTGCAACTTCAGTGCTTGTCCAATGTTCCGGGTGGAGAAATGTCCAGCGCAGTGCGGGATCTGGTAAGGAAATGTAAAATTCTAACGTCTAATGATTTCATTTTAATTCTTCCTAGTCTTAAAAGTCCTGGCAATCATGAAGTATTGTTAATTACAGATTTGATAACATTTATATTCGACGAATTTCATGAAATTAATAATTGAAAAAGCTACGTGTTTTCTCTCATTCTTGTCTGATCTGATTATGATATATCTTTTCATGCTTATTGTTACATACATCTTCTTGGAATTGCAGTATTTAGGTACCAACAGGCCTTCGGTGAATATTTATCAATTTAGTCTCTTCAAAAACGTAGACGAGATAACCATAGATGATGATGCCAATTTCAATAAATTAAGAACATAAAACTCGGAAGATAGCGCAATATTTTACAATAAAATACATCTAGAGGCAAAAATATTAATTCTGCCCCAGGTTTGAAAAATAGAACAGCTCCTGAAATAGTTGAATTAAGTATATATTTCTTTGGATATTGGTGATATTCTTCTCAAACCGGTTTCTTCCGGGAAGAAATGGTAAACAGGTCTAAGAACGACAAAATATGAAAAGAGAAGGAATCCATAAGAACGTAGGAATGGCAGACGAATAACGCTCCTTAGCTGTTTTGGAAACCTTTCTCTTCCATTAACAACGTTATTCAGACAAATTGAAAGTTCAAGTTTGATTTGGAAGGGGTATAGTTCCAGTGAGTACATGTTTACCTCATATCGCATTTCGAAAATATTGAAAATAAGTTTGCATGTACATTTCGGAAAATGATCCATTTGATTCTACCGACGTCGTCTTTTGGGCAAAAACTTTTAAAATACAACGTTTCTAGCAAGTGCTTCAACCTTAATGCCCATTTATCTTAATGATAGAATGCAAAACTTAATTACTATTTATTGATATAATTACTGTTTGAATCAAATGAGAAGGATTCACAAAGATTCATTTCAGACCTATCGTAAAGCCTTTACGATTAATATTGACATTTCCAAGACTAAGGTAATGAATTCTGGATTATCCAAAAGGAATTACAAGGTCAAGTACACTGTGGAAAACGTGGATAACAATAAAAACCTTGACATTATCCTGCAGACAAGTTTAGAGAGAATGTCAGCCACAAATGTTTGAGGCATTAATTAGACCGGTTCTTCTTTCATGTTGGACATTGTAAATCGTCCAGTTCAACTGCACCTAACGTTACTAAGAAAAGAGTACCGAAAATGTTAGTATATATGGTAACCTTGGTGCAGTCGGAACATCGCATCTGGCAAATCAATTTAGAAAAATAATTGTTTGGGGTTACACATTTGTATATCTTAATGTCTAAATTACTTTTCAATTATTACATAATGGGAGCTTGTTAACAAAACAGGATGACCTTATCTTCAGCCAACACGAGTCAAACACCTCGTGCCATCACTATATATGTCATGATGATTCATAAACACATGCTCATGAGATAGTCGGATAGCAGAGATTTCATAAAGATGTGGAAAGGGTTTTGTCGATGAAATTTCCATGTTGATACCACAAAAGTTTAAATGTAAAGGTTGTATCAAAATATCTTTATGGATAAACAAGCAACTTGCTTGCTTGATTTCTCCAAGTTACAAATATTCAAAAAATTCATGCATGAAATTTCCACATTACAATGGTGTTAATATTGAAACAACTTAAATAATTGAAATAAGAACGTTTTGCTACGTTTGCTCAAGTTCAGCAATCACATTTGCCTGATTGCAACAGGCCGATTTTTCGCGTATGTTCAATATGGCTTATGTTTCTAATGTTAAACTTTATCTACAGTTAATGCAAATAATTATTTCAGAATTACATAATCCTTCTAGACACAGAATAAAAAAATGAATCAATTAAGTAGAATACATATGTTTATTAAACCATGCAGACTAGAAACACACATGCAAAATTGTATCCGTGTGTATTACACATATCACAGATACGACTTCATTTGCATATCAGTGTTATAGTTTAGTTATTGGTAATTAATAGTTCATTACACAAATCTTAATATTAAATGATAGTAAATTGGAATTGCCTGACAAACATATCCTCATTTATTTCTCTTTTTAATAGACGGGTGAGAGTCTTATTTAGAAGAGAAAACATTTATTATACTTAGTGATTGCTCATTTCAATAACACAAAATGTATGTAGAATCACCAAGAAAACGATACAAATGCAGTTATTTTTCTACATAGTTTCTGTCAAGCTCACGCAATTTGGTTTTGCTATGTTCCAATCTCGCGATCCCTATTTTGTTTGACCTTTTATCTTGGTACCCTCAAAAAACGCAAAACCTACAATAAATGCATGAAAAACTTCAGGAAACAAAATATGCAAGAAATATTTTGTGTGTTTGTGATTGATAGAAGTCCTCTAGAATCACACTTAGATATTAGAGTTCATAAAAAAAAGCAATTGGAAATTACAATCGCTTGTTAAAGTGACTCCCCCCTTCATGTTCACTGAAAGAGCTTGTTTTGGAGACACTACCCAACCCCTTTCAGATGACGTAATCATAAGGACATAAATTTAACTTATTCTAATGTTTTCACTTATTCATACATGATGCCAAGGGTTCAAACTAAACACTGAATGGTCACACAAGTGTCAGCTCACAATATATTGTATACAGTGCCAGCTTGAATATCTGGACACAATGTTTTAGGAAGATTGAAATTGGGGTGTCCTTAAAATAGCCCTCGACTAAATATAAATTAAGCAATCCAAATCTTTGACTGTTGATTATGGCGGGAAATCATCCAATACCATACTAAACATATTTTATATGATATACTCTGAGGGCATACCATTAGCCAAGAGGTACCAAATGACAGAACGTTTTTCATGTTCTGCAGTTTTGTAAGAAATATTACACCCAATGTGTTGTGATGACTAATATCTCGTTAACCGCATTGCCCACATATGTGAAATTTTGGATATGACTTTGCTAAAGATGCCTTCAAAATAAAATGGAAGCTTTTCAAACATAAGACATCGTGAAACAGTTATTGTACATATTCTTTGATCAACCCACGTATGTATGTATGTCTGTCTGTCTGTCTGTCTGTCTGTCTGTCTGTCTGTCTGTCTGTCTGTCTGTATGTATGTATGTATGTACGTACGTACGTACGTATGTATGTAAATGTTAAAAAAGGAAATTGCATCAGACATCGGGATGTCTACTTATAACTTTTGGAATGTGTGTTCACAGCTTATCATAGACATCAATATGAAACAGATCCGGTAAATTACACAATCCAGAAAAAAGGTGAGCAGAACTAATGCCAAGGTAAATTTGCAAATGTTTTCTGACTTCAGCTGGTGTGGAACATTCTATGTGCATAGTTCGCTATGGACCAAATGCTTCATGTTTGAAAATAACTAAATACGAAATAGAAAACCCCGCGTGTTTGAACAATCTATGAAATGCACATAGAACAGTTACTACTTTTCATCTTTTATACTAATGTCAAAGGTCTGTCTACCTCATATCGCATTTCGAAAATATTGAAAATAAGTTTGCATGTACATTTCGGAAAATTATTCATTTGATTCTGCCGATGTTGTCTTTTTGGCAAAACTTTTAAAATACAACGTTTCTAGCAAGTGCTTCAACCTTAATGCCACGCGTATTATTTAATAACGTATTTCTTGTATTGGAAATCTAACAAACTTCTTCCCCTGTAAATCTGCTGTAAGGCAAAGGAGATATAATCGACTCTTGTGAGTGTGTTGAGTTAAAACTGAGTAAATGTAATGATAGAATGCAAAACTTAATTACTATTTATTGATATACTTAGTGTTTGAATCAAATGAGAAGGATTCACAAAATTGGTTACATTCATTTCAGACCTATTGTAAAGCCTTTAGGATTAATATTGACATTTCAAGACTCAGATAATGAATTCTGGATTATCCAAAAGGAATTACAAGGTCAAGTACACTGTGGAAAACGTGGATAACTATATATACCTTGCCATTATCCTGCAGACACGTTTAGAGAGAATGTCAACCATAAATGTTTGACGCATTAATTAGACCGGTTCTTCTTTCATGATGGACATTGTAAATCGTCCAGTTCAACTGCACCTAACGTTACTAAGAAAAGAGTACTGAAAATGTTAGTATACATGGTAACCTTGGTGCAGTCGGAACATCGCATCTGGCAAATCAGATTAAAAAAAATAATTGTTTTGGATTACACATTTGTATATCTTAATGTCTAAAATACTTTTTAATTATTACATAATGGGAGCTTGTTAACAAGAAAGGATGACCTTATCTTCAGCCAACACGAGTCAAACACCTCGTGCCATCACTATATATGTCATGATGATTCATAAACACATGCTCATGAGATAGTCGGATAGCAGAGATTTCATAAAGATGTGGAAAGGGTTTTGTCGATAAAATTTCCATGTTGATACCACAAAAGTTTAAATGTAAAGGTTGTATCAAAATATCTTTATGGATAAACAAGCAACTTGCTTGCTTGATTTCTCCAAGTTACAAATATTCAAAAAATCCATGCATGCAATTTCCAAATTACAATGGTGTAAATATTGAAACAATTTAAATAATTGAAATAAGAACGTTTTGCTACGTTTGCTTAAGTTCAGCAATCACATTTGCCTGATTGCAACAGGCCGATGGTTCGTGTATGTTCAATATGGCTTATGTTTCTAATGTTAAACTTTATCTACAGTTAATGCAAATAATTATTTCAGAATTACATAATCCTTCTAGACACAGAATAAAAAAAATGAATCAATTAAGTAGAATACATATGTTTATTAAACCATGCAGACTAGAAACACACATGCAAAATTGTATCCGTGTGTATTACACATATCACAGATACGACTTCATTTGCATATCAGTGTTATAGTTTAGTTATTGGTAATTAATAGTTCATTACACAAATCTTAATATTAAATGATAGTAAATTGGAATTGCCTGACAAACATATCCTCATTTATTTCTCTTT